GGTGTTAACAACTTGCATTATCAAGCAGATAACATTGCACGTTTCCTTGGGGAAAAAACTACAAAATAATTGCAACTGACGCAATTATTTCCATTACAACGTGGCTGAGAGACTTGTGAAGTTCGTCACTTTAGGCGTGAGCAATGAAGGAAATATTACGAACAGGAATATTTCCTATTTACGCGCAATTGATTTCTGTATTCTAATTTGACTTTACTCGAAGTAAGTTTGTACAAAACGCATATAAAATGCATAACGTGGCTATTGCGGCAAAATAACTGCGTATTATTTTTTATTATTTTTCTCCTTGAAATACTATCATGCACAAGGTGTTAACAACTTGCATTATCAAGCAGATAACATTGCACGTTTCCTTGGGGAAAAAACTACAAAATAATCGCAACTATTTCCATTACAACGTGGCTGAAAGACTTGTGGAGTTCGTCACTTTAGGCGTGAGCAATAAAGAAAATATTATTAACAGGAATAAATTTAAGAATTTCAATCATCAGAATTCGTGTATTCCACAGTACACGATATTTCGGATAAAATAAAATTCTTATATTTATTCCTATTCCTAATATTTCTTTCTTCCATTGTACTTACAGCCTTAATCGATGAATGTTATCATTTCAGTATTAGGGACATCTTATTGATCTTGTGTTTTTTTTTTCGAAACGTTAGCGGGTTTCCTTATGGGTATATGGACAATTGGCGATCGTTGAAATGTCTAGGAGTCGCTTTCAGTGGTACCATGCCATGCTCGTGCAGGACGACTTACTTATTTTTCTTTCTTGAGCTATAAGAATTAGAAAAAGATAAGAAGTATAAATTAAACTGAGAAAAGTTAATCTATATTATTGATACAAATGGACAGTAACTGATCAAGCTGATTAGCCCTGATCAGTGATTAATTGATCAATTAAACGACATATCTGTGGTATTTTGTTAGCAGGAAAAATTATTAGAACTATTAGAATTATTAAGTTTATTTTTATATTTGGGACAGAAGCTCAGGAATCTTAATTGGAAATTTTACTGCGAGACATTCTGCAGATCAATGAAGTCGTCCCGAAAAAGGCTTCGCAATGTAACGCTGCATATTGTATCTCGATAATCCTTTGGTTGGAACGCGTGTTACATTACGATACATAACCCCTTTCGGCTGGAAATCAAAACAAGTATTTATCGGTGTAGTTTTATCACGTTAATGAAACAGCTGTCGCCGTGTATTTTGCCGCTCAGTGCCGTCGTCATCGTCGTCGTCGGAATGATTGCTGGTAATTCGAAGCAAACGATGTAATTCCCGTCCGCGCGCGTGAATCTAACCTATTCGCTTCAGCTGATTCAGCTCGCTCCTCTCGTCTCGGGCACTGAGCAGTCGCCGTCGTTCGTTAAGTGCGACGATTCATCATCACACAATGTCAGCAATTCGATTTTCGGCTCTTCAGTTCGCAACTCGCAATTACTCCGGTTCCAAGGCTCGAGCTAACATCTCTCGAAGAAAATAACCACATAAATAATAAATATGTCGACTTGTTACTTAATTTGTTTTGACAGCCGATCATAGATCCATGCCGCCAGAGAGAAGCGGCCACTAGCGCCCCACGTCCACGTTTTCAAAAAGAAACTACGTACCACGTCTATCTTATAACATTGTCGATCAAATCATAGCACGAGAACGCGGCGTGGACGTGGTCCGTGCTAATTGTGCTACGTGCACAAATTGTAAATAAATAGATCACGTTTATTTTGCAATGTTGCTGATGAAAGGACATTCCAATTCATGTCTGTACTACATTCACAAATTATAGATAAAGAATGTGGCATATAAATGCACGATTAGCACGGACATGTCACGTAAGCACGTGAAGGCTAAGCAGCCAGCGTGCCTTGTCAGAGGCTCGAAAACTCCCGCCGATACGCGAAAAACATGTTGAGCAAAGAGGTGGCACGGAATCCTAGCCAGCGCGCGTATCGATAGAGGCTTGTTGATAAGGTGGAAAATTGCTGAGCGAAGAGGCACGAAATCCTGGACAGCGGGCCTCGTCAGAAGCTCGAAAACTCTCGCCGATACGCGGAGAACACGTTGAGCAAAGAGGTGGCACGGAATCCTATTAATCCTAGCCAGCGCGCCTCGATAGAGGCTCGAAAACTCTCGCCGATACGCGGAGAACACGTTGAGCAAAGAGGTGGCACGGAATCCTACTAATCCTAGCCAGCGCGCCTCGATAGAGGCTCGAAAACTCTCGTCGATACGCGGAGAACACGTTGAGCAAAGAGGTGGCACGGAATTCTACTAATCCTAGCCAGCGCGCCTCGATAGAGGCTCGAAAACTCCCGCCGATACGCGGAGAACACGTTGAGCAA